GTGCAGCCTTGTTACCTGCACGGAGCAGCCCTCCCAAACAGTTCAGTTTTTCAGAGTTTGCAGAAGGCCAGAAGGGGAGCTGGAGCTTTCCCAACTGCCTCAGGCAGGCCGTTCCACAAGTGGAGGAGGCACGTGTGTGTCCGGGCAGTTGTTGATTTTGCCCATTTGCAGGTTGGCACCTGCAGACCCCCCCCCCCACCCCGCTGACATGAGCGGAATTGTCCTTGCACAACATAGAGCAACGGGCAGTCTTGTAAATGAGAGTCCCATAAAAAAAAGTTCCGGAAGGGCTTTACTGGGACATAAACGTAGCGTGAGGTGTATTGTTTGCTAAACAGAAATTGAACATGCTAAATTAGTTCACACCGTTTCTGTGGTATTGGATAACTTTCCAGTTCAGATTTTTCCAGAAATCTCGCACCGCTTTTTCTAGTTCCCTGCCACATCTGTCTAGGATGATTCCCATTGTGTTACAGGGCAAGATACCAAGGTCTGGGGGGGAAACAGAAGGGGGGGGACGTTTTTGGTGGGGGAGCTTTTTCAGTTTTTCCAACAGAAGAATTGGGAAATTTAGAGGAGCACTGGAAAAAAACCTGCTTTGCTTTTGTAGTGGGTGAAATGAAAGACAAGGTTTTACTTGAAACATGTATGATTTTTTTTAGTATGTATTGTGTAGACATAGACAACATTTTCAAGAGTACTTTTTAAGAATTTTGCCAATATTAAGATGCTGTACTGTGTTTAATGATAATACATTATTAAACAGTGGTATTTCTAATGTTACAACGTTCAATAGGCAAATACGCACACGTGTTTGTGATACAGGAGAGACCGCGGGGCTGTCCTTGCAGCTCTTCCTGTAGAAGAGGAAGACACTGATACTTTTAAATCCCACAAATACGCCAAACAGTGCATGCTGTGTACTGCTATGCTAAGCTACTGTACTGCTGTGTACTACGGTGCTAAGCTACAAATGATATATTTTATGTTAAATTAATGTTTAAAAAGTTTAGGCTAGATAAGAAAGTAAAAACTGCATATTTCAGTTTTTCCCAAAATTTCTGGGAGGGGGGAAACGGCTCCCCCGGATGGCTTCAAAATTTCAAGAAAGTTTACATCTCCATGCAGGGCAAATAGTGGGCCTGTGAGAATGTGTTCTTCCTTGTGCAGTGTGTAAATAAATATGTTTGCCGGACTTACCAGTCAGCTTTGCAGTGTGAAACGACTCTTGAATGACTTCAGAGCAGTTGGTCGTGTGTGTGTGTTTGGGATGGAGGACCAAGCTAAATAGAATTTAGTAGCTTGGGGGGCAGCAGTATGGTTTGAACATAACCCAAAGAACATAATTCTTAACAGTCTGTTGAAAGATGAGCCTCCATAGTAGCATCGTAGTCTCTCCCCCCCTCCCCTCCCCTCCCGGTTGCAGTTAAAGCTGCTGATGGGGGTGTTTGGGGAAACGGTGGAGCGCAAAGAGCCCCCCCCAAGCCTGTCCCTCTTGAGGTGTCATGTGGCTACTTCTGTAACTGAGTTACACAGTGAGTGGAGGGAGATGGGAATATGGTCCTCCTCCTTTCAGTGAGTCTTGTGTGCCAGATAAGCAAGGTTACTGCCTATTTTCCCTCTTAGCTGTGGAGTCCTGTGAGCAAAAATTCTCCTTTGTGAGCTCCTGGCATTAAAGCTGTGAGCGAGCGATTTGGCTACGGCATCCATTAGTTTGCTCTTCTGGAGCCATCCTGCCTGAGCTCACACTTAACTCGGCTTAGAGGGGACACTGGTTACTGCTGTACTTCTCTCCTGCCTCTTCGCTGGCTGCTAGCCGTTGCCACAGTTCAGGCTGTCTGGTGTAGGATCCTGGCAAACAGAAGCCTCATCTAAGAAAAAGTGACTCGTTCGTTTAAATGAGAACTTGAAGGGCTGCCTCTGCCTCTGCCCCTTGACGTCTGTTTAAAGGTCCTTCATTGATGGCGGCCAGCTGGTGAAAAACGGAGGGCAGGATTTTGCCCCCTGCTTCTGCCAAATGGATGATCTTAATGTAATTGGTGCCCTGCTGGATCAGACCAGTGGTCGGTCTAGTCCGGCAGGCTGTTCAGTACAGTGGCCAAGAGCAGGGCAGAGAAGCCAGGTCTGTCCCTGGATGTTGCCACCTACCACAGGCATGTAGAGGCTTACCATCTCTGAATGCAGAGGTTCTCTTCAGTCACCATCAGTGTTCCCTCTGAGCTGAGTTGGTGTGAGCTAGCTCACAGTTTTTTAGCCTCCAGCTCACAGATTTTCGTCTCGGCTCAGGAAGGATGGCTCCAGAGCAAACTGGTTTATGCAGCAGCCGAATCACTCACTCACAACTTTAATGCCAGAAGGCTCACAAAGTAGATTTTTTGCTCACAAGCTTCGAGGGAGCATTGGTCACCATGAGTAGCTATTAATGGACTTCTCTATTAGGGGTGTGCAAAAAAAAAAATCGGATTCGGGTTTATTGGACCCGAATTTTTTCGGGAAACCCGAAAAAAACTGAATATTTTTATCGGTAAAGCATAGATATCCGAAAATTTTCGGAAAACCCAAAAAATTCAGATCCATTATAACCAATGGGGCCATTGAAGTCAATGGCAAAAATCCTCTTGAAACTTTGCTGGGGGCTGGGGGGGAGGGGGTTTGGGATAGAGGCTCCAAACTTGGAGGGTGCTTCCTGGAACCTCTTCCCAACATGCCCACCAAGTTTCAAGGCGATTGGACAAGGGGGTACAATTTTATGGCCCCCCAAACAGGTTGCCCCCAGATCAGCCTTCTGCAGTTTATTCCCGGTTTGCCGCCGAAATTCGGCGGCAATTCGGCAACATTGTTTCCTATGGACCTTGGGGAGAGGGAGACTAGATATTCACAGTGATGGCTGTTCTGGGTCCCCTCTTCCCCCCTCCCTCCTGAAAACAGGAGCTAGAGGCGGGAAAGAGGGGGAAACGGCGGGAAAATGGGGTTTCCCGGCCGCCCTTTAAAGTTTAAAGAGCAAAAAGCCGTTTTTTGGCAATGCCGAAAAAATCCCAATTTTTTTTTGGGATTTTTTTCCGGCTTTCGGACAAGCACAAGATTGCCATTTCGGGATCCCGAAAGCCGAAAAAACCCGAAAAGCAATTTTTTCGGGGGGTTTTTCGGTTCGGGATTTCGAAATGCACATCAGTCCCCTCTGAAAGCTGTCTTTGCTCATCCCTACATCCTCTGGCGGGGAGTTCCACAGTGGAATTCCACTTTTGATCCGTTCCAAATCTTCTGTAACGGGAGCAGTAATGATAAATTTTTGGGGGGGCTGTCTTAGTCCTTGCAGAGGACTTCCTCTTCAGTATGCTGTGTTTATTGAACAGGAAACAGTGAAGCTATGTATTAACCGTGTTCAGTATGTGTTGGTGGATGAAAATGGCCAGCCATCTAAGCTGGCCTGTTGACAGTGTTTGCAGCTTCTCCTACGCTGCAGAATTGCAGAAACACTTGAGGAGTCTTCTGCAATAATCATTTAGAGGAATTTCAGACAGACGATATAATCCGGAAGAGGAACGGTTCCCAGATGGTTTCTGGTCTTTCATTTCAGACAGAATCGTTTTAGAACCGGTTCCATACTGGAATATATTTGTAATTTCACACACAAACGCTTCTGTCCCGTTTAGGAAATGGGGCTGAAGCATTTTACCTGTCAACTGCTTCCAAGTAGTCTTCCGTTTCCTCTCCCGGACCGGTTCCGATGCACTTTTTCCCGCTGTTTTTCGCCCGCACAGGCGATCTCCGGCTTTTTTTTTTTCACGTTCACTTTATAACATTATAGCAACCCCATTGGAATGCCTGGAGTGTTTTGTTATAGTGCTATAGCGCTCTAAAGCGAACGTTTAAAAAAAAGCCGGAGATCGCCCCCACAGGTGAAAAACGGTGGGAAAAAGTGGTGCAGTCTGAAATGGCAAACCGCTTCAGATCCAGCTCTTTACCGGAAGGGGAAAGCCCTGTGTGAAATGGCAGCCCTATACCAGTTTACTCCACGACGGATCAAAACCGGCTTTAAAGGGGTAATGTGAAATTCCTCTTAGCCTCTTTGTATAGCACTTCGGTGTTCAAAGTGTGTACCTTACTGTGGTAGTCCTATAACAGCCCTGTAAAGCCAGCCAGTGTTACTGCTGTGCTGCAGGCAGGGGACTGCGGTTTGAACCCGCAGTCTCTGCAGTCCTCAGTGTCCTGCCCAAGTTCATGGGTCTTGCAAAGATTCTTGTTTCGTAGGGATCTGAGCAGGGGTCTTCATCCTGTGGCTCAGTCCATTGAAAAAGAAAATGAAATCTTTGTTCAGGTATATTGGCGGGTAGGATGCTAGAGTAACCAGTTATGAGGAAAGGACGACAGGAGAAGATTTTTATGGGCTGTCTGCTTGTACAAAGGGGGTTGGCTCAGTCCATTGAAAAAGAAAATGAAATCTTTGTTCAGGTATATTGGCGGGTAGGATGCTAGAGTAACCAGTTATGAGGAAAGGACGACAGGAGAAGATTTTTATGGGCTGAAAGGCTTTCTTAGAGATGCTTTACAAAAAGGGAGGTTGTAGAGGTAAACAGGTGCCAGTGATCCCAAGTGTGAACCCTGCATCGGTCTATGCTGGTGCACTAGTTACTGTGAGTCCTTGTGTGTGCCCGCATGCAGGCGCACCACTTCCAAATTAAGGGCTTGCAACAACCAGTGTTTGGGCTGCAGAAATGTTACGGGGTTCTTAATCCCCATGTTGTTTATCAGTAACAAGTTGTGTATTTTCAGATCAGCAAACAGGCTTTCTTTTGCTGTCTGTCTGATCTCGTGCTTTGAATTTTCACAGTTTGGCTCATTAATTTATAAAAGGCTAGACAGTATTCTCGATCGTCTTCACCAGCATGAGAAATGTCAGAAGCTGCCTCCAGTGGGGTTCTTGGGTTCTGCGATTTGGAAAAACACACCTGTTTTCATCTCTGAGCCGTCCAAACCGTTTCTTCTTTCTTTTTAAATAGGTTCAGATGTAAATAGCATGGATTCTGTGGACAGTGGCTGCCAGAACTTGGGAGCTGAATCCAATAAGACAGAGCTTGTTATCTGGGAGATCGAGGTACCAAAGGTAATGACCAAACTGTTCCTCACCTTGGTGATGTTTCACTAGCAGTAACTCAGACATGCTCTGCACATGGCGGTGTCATGCACAGAATCATTCAGATAGTGTGCTGTTGACTTTGCAGGCCAGAATGAGCTGAAATGGTGGTGGAATTTCTCAAATTTGGCTGGACTTGAAGCAGGCAAGGGACACGTGTCTCCAGAGTGCACGTCGGATTATTTCATAGAATCGTAGAGTTGGAAGGGGCCATACAGACCATCTAGTCCAACCCCCTTTGTACAAGCAGTACTTAGATTTCCCAACACGAGCGTCTTCTAGGGTTTACAAGAGAGTCGGTACAGCTGCCAGGAAGTAAGGGCAAAGGGAGCAACCTGGGAGTGCACTTGTGTGCCTGTATTGGGAGAGAAGGTCGTGGCTGTTGTAGGGGTCTGGGAGAGCAGTGGAGTCGCCCCAAAGCCGCTGGGTCTGCGCCTGGTTCCTGCATGCCCAGGGTTTAAGGCGGTGGCATGGACCGCACTGCTCTAGGCTGCAGATCATAGATAACCTTTTGGAACGCAGTGCAGGGGGGTCTTAGCAGGAGGCTGCAGTCCAAAATGCTGCAGCCCAGGAACCCGGCCGGATCCAGCTGAGGTGGGGACACTTGCCAGGCTCATAGCATTCCACCAGCCAGTGAGGAGCTGCTGCTTGAGAGGACACTAGTTGGCGCTTGACATGTTTCACTTCTGCCCCGTTCAGCAATAAGGCCTGGTACCTGGCTGGGTGAATTTAGCATTCCCCTAACCCGTCCCTTTGCCAAGTTCCAGTTCCGTTTCAGAAAATGCTGTGAAGCCACTTCCTTCCACCCAGACCGATGGGGTGCTTGCAGCGGTTTGCACCTACCAAATAGTCGAACCAATTCAAGTGCAGCAAGTAGGTAGTGCAAATCATTATGTGGCTGCCTGCTACAGGGGAAATGTGCCTCACAAAAGCCACTTACAAAAGAGAAGGGGGCTAAATGTAGCTCATTTGATTGTCTCTACATGGTGCAGGGGCAATCCCTGCAAGTAGAAAGGTAGCACAAGGAGAATACTAGAACGTTCCCCTACTAGAATTCTGATTCCTGAAAGTGTTTTAACACAACTTAAAAAAAAAAAAAGAAGTCCACATTCCATTGGAAAGAATTTCTGAGAAATGATGCTTCCGTATTTGAGCACTCTTCTTTCCCTGAAGAAGAGGGCAGGCTCATCTGGAGATGATAGTAGGCAAGGCATGGCGCCCAGGCTGCTGGTCGACATCGACAGAGAGGTGGTTGAGAAGCATGTATGGTTTATTTTCTTTGATGTGTTAAAATATGTAGGATTATTTCTTTATTTTCTTTTTGAAAACTAATAAAAAGATTATTAAAAAAGAGAGAAAGAGAAGCACCTGGCTGCACTGATTGAGTACAAATCCCCCGGGGGCCAGACGGTGTGCACCCAAGAGTGCTCCAAGAACTTTCTAGAGAGCTCGCAGAGCCTTTGTCCGTCCTCTTCCAGACCTCTTGGAGGATGGGGGGATGTGCCACAAGACTGGAGGAGGGCAGATGTTATCCCAATTTTCAAAAAAGGGAGGAGGGATGACCCAGGACACTGCAGGCCAGCCAGTCTGACCTCTGTCCCGGGGAAGAGACTGGAGCAGGTTTTAAAGGGATCAGTCTGTGAGCATCTGAAGGATAACTTGGTGATCCAGGGAAGTCAGCATGGATTTGTCCCTAACAGGTCCTGCCAGATCAACCTCATTTCCTTCTTGATCGAGTGACGAACTTACTGGATCGCGGGAATGCAGTTGATGTTGTTTACCTGGATTTCAGTAAAGCTTTTGACAGGGTTCCCCATGATGTTCTGATGGGTGAACTAGAGGACTGTGGACTGGATAGTTAGGTGGATGGGGAGCTGGTTGGAGAACCACACTCGAGAGTAGTTGTCAGTGGCATTTCATCTGAATGGTGGGGAGGTGTTCAGTGGAGTGCCACGGGGCTCAGTTCTGGGCCCGGTACTTTTCAGTATTTTTATCAGTGATCTGGATGAGGGTGTGGAGGGGCTACCCGTTAAATTTGCAGATGACATGAAATTGGGAGGAGCAGCAAACACACCAGAAGATAGAGGTAGAATTCAACAAGATCTGAACACACTGGAAGAGTGCATGGATGTGAACAAGATGCAATATAGCAAGGATAGGTGCCAAGTTCTACATCTGGATAACAGAAATGAGGAACACGCATACTGGATGGGGGATACAATTCTGGGTAGCAGTGTGTGTGAACAAGATCTTGGGGTACGGGTGGACCGAAAGTTAAATATGAGCAGACAATGTGATGCAGCGACAAAAAAGGCTAATGTGATCTGGGGGTGTATCAACAGAGGCATAACATCCAAATCACAAGAAGTTATAGTCACACTGTACACTGCATTGGTCAGGTAGCACCTGGAGTATTGTGTGCAGTTCTGGGGGCCTCACTTCAAAAAGAATGTGGACAGAATGGAGCGGGTGCAGAGAAGAGGAGGATCGGGGGTCTGGAGACCAAGCCCTATGAAGAAAGGCTGTGAGGGACTTGGGAATGTTCAGTCTGGAGAAGAGGAGGCTGAGGAGGAGCATGATTGCTCTCCTTAAGTCTTTGAAGGGCTGTCCCTTAGAGGAGGGCAGGGAGCTGTTCCTGTGGGCAGCAGAGGACGGGAAGGTACCAGCTGGATCTTAGGGAAAACCTTTTTGACAGTCAGAGTTATGCAACAGTGGGATCAGCTGCCTCGGGAGGTGGTGAGCTCCCCCTTCTCACTGGCAGTCTTCAAACAGCGGCTGGACAAACACTTGCCAGGGATGCTCTAGGCTGATCCTGCATCGAGCAGGGGGGTGGAGCAGATGGCCTGTAGGGCCCCTTCCAGCTCTGTGTGATTCTGTGATTCTACGCATTGTCAATTCAGATTGGCAGTGGTTTCCCAGAGTCTTGAGCAGAGATAGCCCCAGTGCTTGGTTGCTTGAGAGCATTTATTGAAGATGCTTGGGATTGAACCTGGGACCTTGTGCATGCAGAGCAAGTGCTCTACCACTGGGCCACAGTCCTCTCAAAGTTGTGGGCTGGAGTTCGGGCCCCTCTCCCTCTCTCCCAGTTCTGCTGCTGGAGGACCTACACCCACAGAGGTCCAGCAGTTCAGACTGGCACGGTTCTCCGACCCCAGAGGGGGTCACTAAATGGCTTAAGCTGGATTTAATAACATGCAGGTGGTCATCACCAACATCAGGTTCTTACTGGGTCTTCCAGCCAGACACTTCCCTTAAGGACCCTGCCGCTAAATGGTTCTTTGTGCAGCGGTTCTTCCAGCGGCAAAACTATTACTTAAAGTGAAATAGCTATCTTCAGAAGCCATGTAATTAATTGTCTCCTCTGTTGTTTGCCTGAAGATCTAATGTTTCAAGGACGTGACTTAGATTCTTTAGTACTGATTTATAAGGTCAGTTAACAGCTGCTGCTCTAGGCTGGGAAGCCTGTAGTGGTGGAAGGAGCAGGTGGGATTCCTGCCATTGTCTGGCCCAAGGAAGAGCTTTCCTGTTTGATTGTGTGCCGTTTCTAGCCACATTGGTGGCCGTTTCAGACTTCACCCTCTGCAAAGGTTGACTTGTCTGGTGATTTTTGTGTGTCCTTTTCCTGTAGCATCTAGTGGGCCGGCTGATTGGTAAGCAGGGGAGGTACGTGAGCTTCCTGAAACAATCGTCAGGCGCCAAGATCTACATTTCAACGGTTTCTTATGCCCAGGACTTCCAGATCTGCCATATAGAAGGTGAGGTGGCATGGTGCCCTCTGGGACCCTGCCTAGCCAGACGTTCAGCCAGTGCAGTGACTTGATTCTGACACAACAGACCTGCCCAGAAGTCCGGCTCACGTGCGTCTTCCAGGACACTTTCGCAGCCACGCAAACCAGACGCTTGCCACTTTCAAAGCATAATGGAAGCTGGCGAATCCATGCCCATGTGTGTGCCCTCCCCCCACCCCCACCCCCCGGCTGTTTTGGGTCACATCCAGTCTTGAAAGTGAATACTAGAGCCAGGGTCCAGAGCACAACAGAAAGTGATGCAGCTGTCATCCTTCATTAGATATAGAACAGGGGTGTCACACATAAGGCCCAGGGGCCGGAACTGGCCCTTCCAGGGCTCTCATGCGGCCCGCGAGCAAGTAGTGCAAGGGAGGGAACGGGAGACTGCTTGGGGGGGAGGGGGCGGAGCCACTCCGATTGCGGCTACAGCATGGTGGGACAACCTCGTCTGCAACAGTCAAGCAGTGTGGGAGCGTCTGCCCGGTGCAATACCACTGGCTCTCCAGTCTGCCCATGTGGGTTTTCTTTTGAAACCCCTCCCAGCCCATGAGGCCTTGCAGTGAGGATACACCAACCTGGAGCTTACCAGCTGCTGTCCTTTATAGAGTTTCAGTCTTTGGTACCTGGCATTACATTTCATGGCACACGTGGCCCGGCCCAGCAAAGTGACATTTATGTCATATCCAGCCCTCGTAACAAATGAGCTTGACCCCTCTGATATGGAGTATCCCACTCACTGTCTTGATTCGGGGGTGGGGGGGGGGGCCGTGTTGGTCTGAAGCAGCAGAACAAAGTCTGAGTTCAGGGGCACCTTGGAGACCAACCAAGTTTAAGTTGAGTCAGACTCAGTCCTCACACCTCTTTTTTAGCTCTTGTGGCCGTATGCTAGTTTACTGCTATTCACAGCTCTTACCAACCACTTTAATCCAATCCCGGCTATAATTGCCCAGTAACTTATGTATCTTGACTCTAACTAGTCCTTGCTGGCAACTAGCCCCCCCCCCCCCGTCCCACCCTCTCTCTTGTGTCACTGTATCTGAAGAAGTGTGGATGCACACGGAAGCCTATAACGGTCTTGAGTTAGTGTGTTAACAGCAGTTAGTGTCTCTCTGGGACTAGGGAGGCCTGGACCCCGATCCCCACTTTGCTACCAAGGCCTGGGCTATCTCACTGGATGCCCTGGCCTGTCTCAGCCGAAGCCACCTTGCAGGGCTGCTGTGAAGATAAAAGGGATGGAACGCCTGACCTCTCGAGGGGAAGGGGAAGTAATGGTGCCAATAATTGAAGGGCCAGTTTGGGTTCTCTAGACGGCATGTTGGTCTAGATCGGGAGGGTTTGGGTTCAGATCCCATCTCTGCCACACTCTTACCTGGACTTGTTCAGATCTCCCTGTCTGGTTCACTGTCATGTGCACAGGTATGATCAACCTTTCGATAAGACTATTCTCAAGTGTACGGTCAGCGTAACAAAATCTGTTCTGAACCTTCTAGGCTTACGCTTGTGCAATACTTGTCGCTTCTCTTTTCTGCTTAGGCTCCCAGCAAAACGTCGACAAAGCCTTGAGTCTGATTGGCAAGAAGTTCAAAGATTTAAGCCTCACCAATGTCTATGCTCTTCCCCCTCCTACGCTGCCCCTGCATTCCCTTCCGATGACTTCCTGGGTAAGGAATGCCTCTGGCCTCTGTGTGTGTGTGTGCCTTAAATAAGTTCGTCACCCACTTGTCAAGGTCAGCCTGTTGAATCACACAGCTCCTTGTAGGTGGGTCTGGGTGTGCAGGCAGAGGCAAAAAGGTCCGGGGTCCTTGGTGGTCTGTTTTCAATACTGGGTAAGAAGGGGAGACTGCATCTTGTCACACGTAAAGTGAAATATGCATTCCTCTTTTTAAATAACGGTGCCAAAAGTTTTTTTTGGGGGGAATACAAAGTGTGGAGAGAGAGAGAGGTGATGGGGGCTGAGAGTACACAGTTCTGCCTTCTCTTGTCTCAGAAATTCTGGCCGGCTTCAGCAATCTTCCTTTGAGCAAATCTTGCTTCCGCATCTTTCCTGGGCTGCAGCCTTTAGGCTCTCGCGTTAGAGTTTTGAGCTGCCGGCTGGTGTTGGAAACGAAGCCATAGAATGAGCTGCCCCCAGCATGTTCAGTGGCCATGCAACATGGCCAGCTGCAGCTACCATTTAGGGTCTTGTAACAAATACATCTGAAATGGTTAAAAAAAATGTACTGGCTGCAGCATCTGCGCATGTGCAGACTTTGGAAAAGCCTTAACCAGGGTTCCGCTGGGTTGGTGGTAGCAACCACAGGGTGCCTGTTTGGCGGTGGGGTGGCAGACAGGGGCTGTCTGGGGGGAGACACAGCCAGTGGGACAAGGCAGCGTTCTGTGTTTTCCTTTGCCTGCAAGTCCTTGTGTGGGTCTGTAATGCTTATCTGGAAGGTATACCAGTTTTCTTCCTCTGTGGCAGCTCATGCTTCCGGATGGAGTGACAGTGGAAGTCATTGTGGTCAACCAGGTCAACGCTGGGCATCTCTTTGTACAGCAGCACACGCACCCCACGTTTCATGTCCTGCGTAGCTTAGACGAGCAGATGTACCTCTGCTATTCCCAGCCTGGAATCCCGACTATGCCAACGCCGGTGGAAGGTAAGCACCTGGCACTGTCAGGTTTCTGGGGCCTTCTCAGAGCCTTGGTAGGGGTTGAGCTCCTCACTGTGTTAAGAATGAACTGTGGCCCCCGAGGTCACTGCTTGAGACTTCTTGGCTGTAAACTGTCTAGGTGGGCCTCATCTGCAGTGTCCTACCTTATCGGGTAGTTGTGAGAATTAGTAAGTAGTTGCACATTAAAAGGGCTGTGGTGGCTCAAGTGGTTAAATGTCGGGAGAAGAAGCTTGCCCATCCCACAGCCTCATCTGCAGTGTCCTACCTTATAGGGTAGTTGTGAGAATTAGTAAGTAGTTGCACATTAAAAGGGCTGTGGTGGCTCAAGTGGTTAAGTTGCTGAACTGCAGAGCTGAAGGTCGGTAGTTCAGCAGTTCGAGACCCAAGTGCCAGATGACGGAGTGAGCTCCCGTCTCTGGCCCCAGCTCCTGCCAAACTAGCAGTTCGAATGCAAGAAATTGCAAGCAGATAAATAGGTCCCGCTTCGGTGGGAAGGTAACAGTGTTCCGTGCACCTCGGCGTCTAGTCATGCCGGCCACATGACCATGGAGAAGTCTCCAGACAGCACTGGCTCTTTGGCTTGGAAACTGAGATGAGCACCGCAACCCTAGAGTCGGATTCGACTGGCTTTCGAGCAAGGGAATCTTTACCTTTTACTGCATGCTTGAACTCTTGCTCAGTCGCATATATGTGGCATAAAAGCCTTTCCCAAACTAGATTCCTCAATATCAGACCACATAGTCACGTGGCACTCCTTTGTTCCGTGACCTCTGTCTGCGTTGCTTCTTGCCATTGGCAGGCTTGTTCTGATGTCACGGAGGAGCAGAACAATAAAAACTGAAAATCTGGCAATATCTTGTTGTGAATGGAAGACCGTAGTTCTGCGGTGGCCTATTGGCATAAATCATTTATTTTCCTTTTATTACTATTACGCTCCTCTGACCAAAGGACTTGATCAAAGTCAAAACCAAATACAAGATACAATACAAAACAGCAAACATTAAGATACAACAGACATAAGACAAGTGTGTGTTTCCAGGGTCTTCTAATGACGTTACTGGCCACAATTGTGCCACAGCAACGAGTAGAAAGAGGAGTGTATTGCCGTCACAGATCTCTGTTGCAATGGTCACTGTTTTGGCTGTGGAGAAGGGCTTCTGACCGGCAAATGAAATGCAGAATTGGTCATATGGCATTTCCTGTATTTATTTATTTATTTGAATTTATATTCCTCCCTCCCTGCAGACGGGCGAAATGCAGAATTGGTCATTTCCTGTATTTATTTATTTATTATTCAAATTTATATTCCTCCCTCCCTGCAGACGGGCTCAGGGTCTGTAGAGCAGGGGCATTCAGCGGCTATTTCCAGAGCCAGATGTGGTGCAATATGGAATCAAATATGGTTCTTTAGCAAAGAAAATGCAAAAACCTTTTCTGAGACTAAAGGCTTCATGCAGATGCTTTATGGACAGGGAAAGGAAAGAGGGGAAGAACTGCCAGGATCTAAATGCAAGCCATGCACTGATCTATGCCGGTGTGCTAGAACAATTGTGTAGGGTACTCCTCTGCATATGTATGATTTCTTTTGAGACCTTGTGTGTACCACCCCTTAATGAAGGACTCAGAACAGCCAGGGTCAGGGCTGCAGAAACCTCCACGTGTCAATCATCAGTAGTGTTGAATGGTATCATTTCAGCTGTGAAAGTAGGTTCCCTTTTTCTGGCCCTCTGATCTCTTGCTGTCTTTTGGTGAAGTTTGGCCCTTTAATTATAAAATGCTGCTTCCGTAGAGTCGAATGCTGCTAGTTAGCCATGCAAGTCTTCTAGTTTTGGCCCTCCCTGGGAAACAAGAATGCAGTCGACTTACGAGGGTCGCTCTGCAGAGAGGGGAACTCCTGAGTGTGTGCAGGACCATTGCGGGGTGTGCGGCCACGTCTGCTTGGGGGATAGCCAGGCCTTCCAAGTTGAAGGCAACTCATAAGTATTTACTTTTATTAATATACGTATACCCCACCCTTCCTTGTGCAGGGAAAAAACAGGTTTTTTGTGGTTTCAACTTTTCGAGAAGAATCCCCTTGTGTTGTCCCCCTAAAAACTTGGGAGGACGTCAAATACAACCAACTTGAGATAACCCGTGATGTCAGTAACGGAAGGGTTCTGGTTCTGGTTCTGACACGGGGGTTCCTCTTGGTGGTGTTGTGCCCTCCTGACCTCTCTTGGGTCTGTGCTGTGCTGTGCTGATGTGTTCTCAATGGGCCTTCTGCAGTTGGCGTGGTCTGCGCTGCGCCTGGCGTGGACGGGGCCTGGTGGCGAGCGCAAGTTGTTGGCTACTTCAAAGACTCCGGCGAAGTGGAGATCAGATACGTGGACTACGGTGGATACGAGAGAGTCAAAATCGACACGCTCAGGCAGATCAGGTGAGCAGGGCGGGGACTCCGTTTCGGCACCCCTCTCTTAAGAAGAAAAGGGGAAAAGGGAGGATCCGTGTGGCCCACCAGTGGCTTGCTGAACTTAGATGGCTGATAAAACCCTGTATTTCTTGCCTATCCTTCCCTGTGCAAGCCTTGCGACCTTTTGAAGCACCTGCTGGCAGGTGTGTTGGCTGGGAAAGTAAGGCTGATTGGGGGCGGGGCAGAGACTTCATGCCCCGTTTCATTAATCTTGAAGCTGTACTGTGGAGGATAAGTAAATGTGCATCTTCTGTGTGTCCCAAGCTTTCTCACCCTGTCCCACGAAGGAGGCTGCCTCTGCCTGCTTCCAGAGTACCTGCCCCGGGGTGGGTAGTTCCATGCTCTCTCCATTTGGTGCGCCTGGCCCATTTGATCACTGCTGTAACAATTGGTTGCCTGTTGAGGAGGTTCCCTGTTAATCTCTGCATGAGTTCTTGGTCTCCTTAAAATTGGTGATCAGAGGCTGGGTAACTCTTTTATTCTGATCCTCTGTACGCAAGCAGGAAGGGTGTCAAGTTTCAGTTAAGAAAAGATGTCTTGCGCTGGTTTTCAAAGATTTAAGCAACAGTGACTTTAACAAGCTGATTTATTAAATGCATACGAGTTTAAAGTGAACACACGCAGCTGCCTTGTACTGCCTTGGTCCATCAAGGTCAGTATTGTCTACTCTGACTGGCAGCAGCTCTCCAGTGTCTCAGGTCAACGTTTTTCACATCACCTTCCTGATCTCTTGAACTGGGGATGCTGGGAATTGAACATGGGACCTTCTGCATGCAGAACTGACACTCTGCTGCTGAGCCAGGATCCTTCCTCAGGGTGTTGGGGTTTAGGGACTGTTCACTGGGATAGTTTCTGTAAGTTGCTTAAGGGGCTTGTGATTGAAGTTTAAAGCCACCAAAACGGACTCTAGAGCTCTGTAACAAGGGAGCTCACCAGGCAGGCTGTAGAACCCAGGCCCAAGAGAAGAGATGTGGGTGGTGAAAGGGAACCAGGTGTCCAGCCGGCCAGAGTAGGGTCTTCCTTGGAGTCACCTGTTGATTGCCCTGGGGACATTCCAAGATGGGGATCTGAGATAAAGGGGAGGAGATGGAAAACCCCAACCCACAATTTCCATCCCTCCCCAAGTTCTCTGCTCCCCCTTCTTTCTGCCTGCCTGCTTGCTTGGCCCGTCTGCCCAGACAGTCTGCCCTCCATGTGGCCCCCGTGCTAACCAGGCCGGTACACTGAACGCAAAGTTCTTCTGGATGAAAATTAATCCTCTCAAAGGCAAGGGTAAGGACTGCCTGCCCTCAAAGTAGCCCCCACCCCCCTTGTGTTTAAAGATGCATCACCGTTCTGGGCAGGCAGTTCGGTCCTCTTGGCTGGGGGGTGATTCTGGCCACTCAGTCTCTGAGCCCAAAGACGTGTCAGGTGGGTGTGGATGCACTCGCAGCAGCCAGAGCATGCCTTCTGTTCACACCCATTTAAGCCACAGGGAAAGGAGCCCTGTGCCACGCTCACTGGCTCATTCAGGACAAAACTGGCTCATCCCGGTAAAACAGCAGCTGCTGAGGGACTGTGAGAGACCGCACTCCACCCGGAGCCCTCTCTGACAAGGACGGTGGTTCGAAACCTGCCAGGAGAGCCTTAGGCAAGCATTCCCATCTGCAACAGGGGGATAAGATTGGCTTGCCTTAAGTATGTGTGTGTGGGGGGGTGTCACACTAGATATCAAATGTGCTACCATGCATTTGGGCCGCGGTGGCTCAGAGGTTAAGACTCTGAAGCTGCAGACCGAAGGGTCGGTAGCTCGGCAGTTCAAGACCCGAGTGCCGCGTGACGGAGTGAGCTCCTGTCTCTGACCCCAGCTCCTGCTGACCTAGAAGTTCAAAAGCAAGAAATTGCAAGTAGATAAATAGATACCGCTTTGGTGGGAAGGCAACAGCGTTCTGTGGGCCTCAGCGTTTAGTCATGCTGGCCACATGACCACGGAGAAGTCTTCGGACAGCACTGGCGCTTCGGCTTGGAAATGGAGACGAGCACCGCCCCCTAGAGTCAGATTCGATTAGCTTCTGAGCAAGGGAAACCTTTACCATGCATTTGATGTGGTCAGGTGATTGCATCAAATGTATAGTAGCACTTTTGAAATATATTCCTACAACATATGGGTAGGATCCAAGGTAGTGGAAGGGGAGGGGTAATTTCCACCTGCTGCAGCCCCCCCTCCCCGATCCATCCCTCCTGCTGTTTTTGAGAGTCCCCCCCTCTTCCCCAGGAGCAGCATTTTGGGGGGGTTAAGGTGCTGCAGTAGAAAGGGTGAGGCAGGAAAATTCTGTTCCACAACTGGAAGTGTCTTAGATGAGCAGAAAGTGTACTCTAGATCCAGCCCCGTGTATCACAGCCCGCTCTGTCGTTCTGTGTAGCAGCATGCAACTAATGAAAGTGCCTCATCTTAGGGGGGTTTTCTGCTTTGTTTTTCTTATAAAGGTCAGACTTTGTCACACTCCCTTTCCAAGGAGCTGAAGTCCTGTTGGACAACATCGTGCCTCTTCCAGGTAATGCAGGGCTTGGGTGGCTTACGTGGACTTGGGTTTTCTTTACTACAAGAAGGTCTGAAAAACTCACACGGCTCAGATACATCTTAATGTTGGTGTAGAATTCTGTGGACTGGGCCATGCCACAACTTCCTCAGAGGGCCTTTTCTGACGGGGTGTGCCAACTGGCACATTAGGTGTTCCCTGTAAGGATTGACCATTTCCGCAGATGCACTGCATCTGCTGGTTACACCACCTCACAGGGTTATTGTGAGGATAAAATGGAGGCGAGGAGAAGGAGGCAAGGCGCTTAGGGCCCTCCCTGGGGAGGCAAGGGAGCTGTCCCTGAAATACTGTTGATCCGTTGCCTGCCAGGAGGACAGCAAAAGGGGGCCATCTTTAGGTAAGGGAAAGGAGAAGTTACTGCCTACTCAGGTATGTGGGGAAATGTTAGTTTGCAGAGCATGAAATAGGAGGCCCCAAGACACATGGGCATGGGCACCGTCTCACCTGCACAGAGGCATGAACTGTTGGAGTTTGTGAGTAAAACAGGAGGGGGAAGTTGGCGTGCTCAGGCCCCCCTGGCGGGGAGACCAGGGCTAGGGCATTTGCCTCCCCCCCCCGGGGCCCCTCCCTTCAGCCACCTGTCCAGCTTGTTAGGAGCTCTCAAGGGCTCTGACTCAATGTCAGAGTCCTGGTTAGGAGTGAGCTGTTAATGGGGATTACGAGAAAAGTCTCCACCAGTCCTAATTAATAGACTCTCTAGTGCATTCACACTGATGCACAGATGAGGCTGGAGCCCTCAAAGAGATTAGAATATCCTGGCACGTGCATAAAACAAGGGTTGGAGGCAATGCTCCCTTTAAGCTGTGGAGTCTTGTGAGCAAAAATTCTACTTTGTGAGCTACTGGCATTAAAGTTGTGAGCGAGCATTTTGCCTACTGCATACATTAGTTTGCTCTGGAGCCATCATTCCTGAGCTAGGACAAAAATGTGTGAGCCGGAGGCTAAAAAACTGTGAGCTGGAGGCTAAAAAACTGTGAGCTAGCTCACACTAGCTCAACTTAGAGGGAACACTGGTTGGAGGATGTTATACATCCCCCAGTTCTCTCGTTTCGCCCCCCCCCCCCGGGTCCATGTGTCCCCAGGAGGGAGAGGTAGGAGTATACCCCCCACTTGCATTGTAGTACCTGGGTTCAGTGCTAGATGGCTCCTCTTAGGACCCAGCGCATGACTCATAAGTGTGTGAGCTTTTGGGGTCATTGGAACGCTTCATCATGCTGAATGCTACAGAAAAACTGAACCGTTTAAAAAGAGAGGAGAAAATTCCTTAGGACACAATGGTGGGTCTGATCAGACTGCTCCAAGTTACACCGGCTGAGCCGCTAAACTCCGAAAGCATTAACAAATGCTTTCTGAATGAGTGAGCCTCAAAATCCCTTTTTGGGAGAGAGCACAGAAAACATTTTGCACCTTTTGTGTTAACTTAGGAGATTTCAGGTGTTACAGGAAGTATAAAGTCTGTCAGGCTGAATGCTGTTGTTTGCCTTCCTCTTTGGAAGGTGGTCGTCTACACACAATCCGCAGAAGTAGGAGACTCCTCAAGAGGGTGCTTGGGCACCTTGCGGTTTCTTCCTTGGCATGCTGGCTTTCTACATGCAGGGAGGTCTGTTGCGCGGGGGAAGCTTGGCATTCAGAAAGTGGATTGGACTGCGGTTGAAGGCAGTTGTGCCGTCCAAGAAAAGGGGCCGTCCTATGCACTGTGCGCAGCATCCGTTTTTCTCCTGCACTTAAGTGTTGCCTTGGCAGTACTCGGCTGAATGCCTTTTCTCTTCCTTCTCCCCTCCCCACGGCATCAAAGACGAAGATCACTTCTCCTCCGAAGCAGACACTGCAGTCAGTGAAATGACCAGGGGCACACCCTTGCTTGCACAGGTGGGTACGCCAGCAGTCTTGGACCACCTTTTGTTGAGAGGAGCCCTGAGCACAGGTGTGGCTGGCCTCTAACCCGGAGGCACTTTGCTAGGAGTGGGTGGAGAGGAGATGGGGGGGGAGAACTATGTTGACCCTGGAGCCACCCCTGTTCCCTTTAGGCACTCTGTTCCTGACAGGCACGGACCAGGATGCCGCCGTCATGCTGAGAGCCAGTTTGGTTGCAGTGGTTCAGAGCAGCAGACTCTAATATGGAGAACTGGGTTTGATTCCCCAGTCCTCCTCCACCTGCAGCCAGCTGGGTGATCTTGGGTCAGTCACAAGTTCTCTCAGAGCTGTTCTCTCAGGAGCAGTTCTCTCAGAGCTCTCTCAGCCCCACCCCCCTCACAGGGTGCCTGTTGTGGGGGAGGGGAAGGGAAAGCAATGGTAAGCCACTCTGAGACTCCGAGTGAAGGGTAGGGTATAAATCCAATCTCCTTTTCTTCTTCTCCTCCTCCTTGTTCAAACAACCCATCTCTTCATGGGGGTTAATTGGCATCTGTCTTTTCCAGGTTACAAATTATGACACCGTGACGGGGTTGCCTCTAATACAGCTGTGGAGCATGATAGGAGATGAGGTAGGTATGCAACTGGAAAGAGCACAAAGGTGAAAGTTTTCAGTGCATGCCCAGAAATTTGACTGTAATTCCTCGGTTAGACTAAAGAACGTAGGTTCAGTAAATCTGTACTCCTGTATTCAGAGAAACCACCGTTGAGGAATTTGGAGGGCCATAAACTGTGAAGGTGCCAGGTTCATGTTTCTTGTCAAGTACCCACTCACCCAAAAGGCTTCCAGGTATATCTCTGGGTGGCCTGCTGTTCTGGTCTGCCTCATAGTTGTCCTGCACTGGAATTCCACGACTTAACCTTTCTGGCACTTAGATCAACAGGTGTTGTGTTCCCCTCTGATGCCAAAGGGTTAGAGACTTGTATCCATTTTTTAGATGGGCCTTTCAGAAGCTGAGTACTTTCACAAGTGTGAAACCCTGTCCTTGTTTCTGCACTTCTGTGGCTAACATCCCTCCCCCCACACAGCGCTGGTCTCAAAACTTTTAGAGGACATTTATAAAACAAAACCCTCAGGGTTGGCAGTGTAAGGGCGAGCAGGCCACTCTGAAAAACTGGGAAGGGTATTCTTCATTATGACTGTTGTCTCTTCTGTTAGGGTTTCATTGCTGTCTCATGACATACTGATTCCAATTCCCAACCCAGCCAAATCTGAGGATACTTCTGTCAAGAAACTGGAGCTGTGAATGGACTAGACAGATCTTTCTACAAACCTGAAAAATGCTCAGGGTTTTCAGAAAAATCTGAAATCTTTAAAAAAAATACTTGGGGTTTAAAACACCGAAATCATAAAAGTGTCTGTGGCTTTAAGAAACAGATGCAGTCAGTGCCCATTGCTAGGCAACCACAGTAGTTTGGCAAGCATTCCAGGCTTGGTTTCTGTCAGTAAAAAGGGGGGGGGGCAGGGCCCTTTCTAGGCCATTTTGGCCTTTGAAGGAGGACTCATTGGGGCCAAGCATGGGAGCAACTGCTGGGGTGACCTGATACCACCCAGCTTGCATGACTCACCTAAGTCTGGTTGCTTGCTATTGTTCAGCAGCAGCCAGACTATGAAAGTCAGTGTTGTGTAGTGGTTAGAGCCTCAAGCTAGGGACTGGGAGACCCAGGTTAAAATCACCAGTCTGCCATGGAAGCTCAGAAGGTGGCCTTGGGCCCATCACATACTTCAGCCTGACTTACCTCACAAGGCTCTTATTGGGATAAAAAGGCAGAGAGGATAACGATGTCAGCTACTTTGGGTCCTCACTGTGGAGGAAGGTGGGGTATAAATGAAGTGAATAAGTAATATAGCCAGATGAAAGGGAGGTTGGTGAAGGGCCGAGGAGGGGAAGGATGAGGCAGGGGAAACAGGAGAGGGCGTGGGGGTCGCCAGGAGGGAAAGGGGGGGACAGAGGAGGAAGCGAGTTTCCGTTGGTTCCTCACCATGCAGGTGGGCCTGGACCGTTTGACAGCACCAGACAACTGGGTCCTATTTGTCCCAGGTAGAGGCTGGTTGGGGGGAGGAAAAGCTGAAGATGAGGCAGGCAGGAAAATGTAGGCTGGCTGGGGGGGAGGCAGGAAAGGGGGGGGGGGCGGGGGGGGGGGGGGGAGAGAAGGAGGCAGGAAAAGGGGAGAGACTGTGTAGGGGCTTTCAGGGAAGGGAAGGGGAAAATAAGATCTCCCCCCCCCCATAAGTCCTTGTGGGTTCTCTGCTTGTGATGCTGATCATCCAAAGACTGGCGTATGGCACACACACACACCACCCTTCTCCTCCCTTGTTCATAACCTATTACTGTACAGCGCCTGTGTTTTGTAAACTGCTGGAAGTTAAATCCCCTAAGAGGCCCTCCCTGCATGGGCTAACTCAGTCATTCTCTTCTCTCTTCCAGTTGGTGTCTATAAACCGGACCATGGTGGAAAGAGGGTTTGCAAAATGGATCGAAAGCTACTAGGGAAGACTGTGCTGTTCCCCAGGCTGGCTGCTTCCCTTGCCCACTCCCCCGTAGTCTTTTTTTATCGCCTTTACGTGTGTTGGCACTCTTTTGGAATCAGGTTTGGCAGTCCCTCCCGACACACGGGGAGCGTACACACCGCTGGTGCGTCTGGTCTATTCCAATGTGTTCATCTGACAAGTTATGCGTTTCTCTATCTGTATACTTCGTTTTGTCGCAAGGCAGGGAGTGAAACCATAAGCCATAAAGAGACTGTATCTCTGAAGCCTCCGTTTATTCCCCCCCCTCCCTGACCTGGGTCCAAAAGGTAAAAAAGAGAAAAGGAAAAAAAAGAAAAAAAGTATGTATGAATGAAAAGTCCTGTCAGGGTACGGAAGGAAATCACTACGGATTTAAACTGTGTGTGGAACACGTCCCCAGTCGCCGCACTGGCTGCTGCACTAGCACTTCCTTCAGCAGCTCCTGCTTGGAAGCAGAGGTGGCTTCTGGCCAGGGAAAGGGCCAGAGATTCGGGAGGCATGTTTTCCCGGTGTTTTCCAGACATGCTCTGGCTCTTCTCAGCTTGGTGGTGGTAGCCGGGAAACGGAACGGAGAACCATTGGTTGTGTGGTCCTGTTTTTGTTGTTGGCTTGGTTTTTTAATTAAGGCTCGGTTTGCTCAAGAAAAAGAAGCTGCAGACCCCTTAAACTGATCAAATAAACCCCGATAGCAGCAACCTTTTAAAATCCCCAGAATCATGTTCAGACAAAAAGAAGAATCTGATTGCCAACCCTGATAGATACGATTACAGTTTTCTAGCTGTGCAACAACTTATGTAAATATATATAAAAAATATTGTAATATTTTGTACAAGGGGGGGAACACTGGAGAAAAACTAAAAGGGAACGTAAAATCTATCGACTTTTTTACACCAAAATGTCGTCCTCTGTTGTTAAGACTGATTTGTCGTCATGTTGGTACAGCCGTGTGAGGGCTCGCTGTGCGCTCGTGTACAGGACGACAGTTTCGGCTAGCTTTTGCTGAATGGGATGGACAGTAATCTACAGACTCTTTGCTACTACTTTGCTGTACATATCTGACTTTAAAAAAAGAGGGGGGGGATAACATTCGGAATTAATGTTGCAATGGTGTGTCTTGATCTCTTTGCTCCTCTTTAGATTGGTTTCAAATGTGGAATTTAAAAAAGAAAAGAAATCAAGTAATTTAAGTTAATTTAATACTATTAAAACATACATGAATTTAAACATGGCTGTTGAGTTGGGAGTTATTACTGGTGGGAAAGATGCTTGCCTGGGGGGGGGCTGGGTGAAGAACCACTGTTCTGCTATTGGGGCCATTTGCGCTGTCTTGGCATAACTTGCCTCACGGGGTTGTTGTGAAGGTAAAATAGGGAGGGGGGAAGACTATATTACCTTGAGCTCCTTTTCAGAAGGGTGGTCTGCAGAATTTCTCATCTTTGTCATACATAATTCTTCTGACATCTTGTGTCACGTACACAAGACTTGCATACTAATTCTGATCACAAGGGATGAGTTTGTCATTTTAGTTAGATGGCTGTTTCCCCCCCAGAGAATTCAAGGAGTTTACTTGACGAGTACAAATGCTGAATGCTGCTGCCTTCATCAGGATAAAGATCCTCGTCTTCACAATTCGCGAATCTTGCTTTAAAACAAGATTATTTCACTGTGTCCCCCAAGCCTTTGAATTTATTTAGTTGCCTTTGAATTTATTCAGAATACTGTCTTGCAGTTTGTTACAGCAAAAGTTCTTAAATGTCTGGGGAGGATCAGTGGGGGGGGAGATCAGGTGAGGTCAGGTTTTATTCACAGTCTGTGGCCAGAACTTAAATTCACAAACAAACAATAAAATGCCTCATTGGGGCAATACGGCAATAATAAACTCATTCACAATACAATTTGAGGAATACGTCATAATAAAATCGTTCAAAATACAGTAAAATGTTACACTGTCTACTAAAAAGTTTGATATCTCAGCAATCCACTACATGAGCTGTTCCAGTTTTCCTGTCCCTTGCAGCAAGGCAGCCAGATCTAGCCCACCTGGTAAGTAACGTCATGATGCCTGTCTGGAAGAAAGAACCTCAGAAGGCACGATCTCTGTCAGAAGTTTAAAGGGAAGGGAACAGGAAGAGGAAGGGATTCACGAAAATGGTTATACGCCTTGCAATCGAACAGGGCGTGGGCTAGCGATTCTATGCCTTCATTACAACAGGGGCAAATCCTTCATAGGGAATCTTTTTATACTTTCCTTCAAGGACAGGTGAGGGGGTGAGATCATCTCCAGACCGCTTGTTGCTCTAGAGGCGAGTGTAACGGTTGTCTTTCCGGAGTTCCTGAGAGGTTCAACACGAGTCTGTTGCCTGTCCTAAGTTGAAGGCCCAGCATCTTGAGAAGTGGCAGAGCACTTCCTTGGACACAAATGGTCATCATGAGGCCGCAGCTGTTCTCGGCACACTTTTGGGGTGACGGGGGAGGTGACAAAAGCCCCTTCTCCCATCTGGTGTGGGCCTGTAAGGGCCGGTGCTAGGAGGAGGTGGCAAAGAGCCAGTTCGGTGTAGTGGCTAAGTGCGCCGACTCTAATCTGGGAGAACCGGGTTTGATTCCCCACTCCTCCACACGCAGCTGCTGGATGACCTTAGGTCAGTCACAGTTCTCAGAGCTGTTCTCTTAAGGACTGTCCTGGAAAGAGCTCTCTCAGCCCTACCTGCCTCACAGGGTGTCTGCGGTGGGGAGGGGAAGGGAACGGAGTTTGTAGGCCGCTCTGAGACGCCGAATGCAGGGCGGGGTATAAATCCAATCTCTTCTTCTTCTTCTTCAAAGGGAAGCCAGGCTTCTAGAAGGGTGGCAGAAGTCCTCCTGTTCAGTCAGGTCCACTTCCAGTCAAGCATCCCATTCCTCCAGTGGCTAAGCCCAAGGCCTCCGGGAGGCCTGCAAGCCCAGCCTGGATGTGGAAGCGGCCTGCTGTTCTCCCCCCCCCCGCCCCCCTGCACCTGGCCTGCAGGGGGGGGTGCCATGATGACTTGGTGGAAGAGCTGACACTAGTTTTGGTGGGCTGATGGTCTGATGCGGTGTGAGGAGCTCCCTGTGTCCCTGTTCTTGTGAAATGGGGACAGTGGCTCCGACCATCTGCTCTGCTTGCTGACATCTCCGCTTCAAAAGGGCTCAGGGAGCCGGTGATACGGAAGACCGCCGCCTGAGACTTTGGAGAGCTGCCGCCAGTTGATACCGACCCGGGCGGTCTGATTCACAACAAGGCAGCTGCGTGAGCATTCCTTCTGAACACGGAGCTTCCGTAGAGCAGTCATGGAATAGTGGCCACAGTTTTGGCTGAACAAGGGGCTTCTGATTGAAGGATGCGTGTTTTTCATCCTCTTACTTAGTACTTTAATGCAGCAGAGAGAACAAAGTCTGGCCTGGGTGTTGGGAGGGAGCCAGAACTTTACAGGCCTGCACTGGATCGGCCCTCACAACCCACCACCTTTTGCCGGTCACTTCACCATGCTGGCCTTCGGACCCAGAGCGGCAACCACAGCACGACTGCAGAGGCCTTGGTGGCACAACGGGACCAATAGCACCCCAACCCCCATAACTACATAACTGGAAATGGGGGGAATATCAGGCAACACATTTCGAGTGTGTGAATTAGTATCCATTTCTCAGCAGTCAAGTCATTGCATGCATAGCTGGATACACCTCAGTAGATGGCGCTGCTTTACAAGCTATGTGGCCATGTTCCCACGGTCTGAGGATGGGGAAGCGCCCGGTGGTTGTCGTTCCTAAACAGCACTTGTGGAGGATCCCACTGGTAGAGAGGGGGTTAATCCTTTGTCCCATCCAGATCTGAAATAGCCTTGGGAGCTGTTATTGGGCCGATGGCGGTGAGCATACACGCAAAAACTAGAACGTAGTCAGCAGTAGCACCGCAGGGCCATTTTTGTCTGGGACAGGGGAATGACCCTGAAGAGTTAAAATCTACCATGATCCCTAGCAAGAGAAAGAAAGGAAAGGCAGGAGAGTTTGGGAGCTCCACTTGGTTCTAGCACTTTTGGAACAGTAACAACAAATCGCTCATTGCCTTGCCCTGGAAGTCGAGGAAGGATAATGAAGTATGCATGGAAATCTCTTTAACTTTTGCATAGAATACTCGGGGTCCAGGTTTCTCCTCAGCCTTCTGATATTTCTGTCATGTTACGGGGCCACCACAGCATCTGTTGTCTTTTCCAGGCCTGCACGGGGCCTGCTAGCCCGCTCTCGGGGGCTAAGCAGAGGTGGCCTTGGTTAGTGCCAAGGAAGTCCAGGGTTCCTAGGCAGAGGCAGGTGATGGCAAACCACCTCTGGACGTCTCTTGCCCTGAAAAACCCCTATGGACTCGCCAAAAGCTGGCTGTGATTCCCCCCTCCCCCATGCAGGCAGAAGAGAGAAGATTCCAGCATGTGAAATTCTACAGCTTTCCCATTTAGGGGGATGTTCTGGACCATGGACCAAGCTTTCCCCAAGAATGCCGGCTGCTATATGGGCTTGTATCCCTTTACACGCTAGGGAGGTGCTCATGCGATGACACGCTTTGCCGTTTCAAAAATCCTTCCACGTGGAAAGCTAACATACCAAGGAAAGTATCTGTATTTTCTATTCTTTAAAGAAAATAGATGGAGCCTGTTTAGTGACTGAAGGCTGCAGTCCTAAGCCTGTCTCCCTGGGAGAAAGCCCTTCTGGGTAGATCTCCTTAGGATCGCTCACTTAGCTGTTGTCATGAAAAAGTGTATTTGTATTTGGGAAAGTGTGCATGCCCACGAAAGTGCATTCCTTGAATAAGCCTTTGTTGGTCTTAAAGGTGCCCCCGCTGGACTCTGAATTAGCACCGGGCAGGCTCCGAAAGGCTCAAATGTCACTTCAGGTACAAACCCCGTAGCTGGACTTAGGACAGCTCCCCCCCGCCCCCCCCCCCCCCCCCATATGAAATGCAGGGATTCATAATTCTTTACTGTTTTACAGGACAGTCGTAATAATTGCAACATGATAATGTCCGTGAAGTGTTCTGAACACTGAACGTGTATATAAATGCTAAGGATTGTTATTTGTTTCTTCCATGGCATTTGCATCCCTGGCCAATTATCAATAGGATGAAAACACTGGATTTTTTTTCTACACCTCCAGCCCGCCCCATTTCCCCCCTTCATTTTAGAGCCGTCTGTAGCCTGGGGATGCCCCATGTGGAGCCCGCCAACACCTTCCCTGGAGTCTGTCAAGTGGGTGGCGCCAGGTGGAGGTTTTGCCCAGCATGACTGGCCATGAGGGCTGCCAGGTCAGGGTTGGAAAATACCTGGAGACTTTGGGGGTGGATCCAGGAGAGGGAGGGGCTTGGGGAGGGGCCTCAGCCACAGAGCCCACCCTCCGAAGCAGCCGTTTTCTCCAGGGGAGCTGATCTCTGTCGGCTGGAGATAGCTGTAAAAGCGGGAGATCCCCAGGCCCCACCTGGAGGCTGGCAACCCTACTGGCCATGGGGGATTTGATTGTCTGCACAGATTTTTTAAAACGTTGCTTTGGTGGCAGCTGCCACCACAGCACAGGAATCTTCTCTCTGTGACTGAAGGTGAGCTGTGTCAGCCATTTGTTGCTGTGCCCACCAACCTATATCAGAATTACAAAAGTCCCTGTGGGCTCAAAAAGGTTGGGGACCCCTGCTGTAGCCCCTTTTACCACTCATGTGGGTGTGGTGAAGAAGAAGAGATTGGATTTATACCCCACCTTTCACTGGGACTCTCAGAGCAGCTTACAAACTCCTTTCCCCTCCCCACAACAGACACTGTGAGGCAGGTGGGGCTGAGAGAGCTCTCTTGAGGACTGCCCTTGAGAGAACAGCTCTGAGAGAACTTGTGACTGACCCAAGGAAACCCACCCGGCAGCTGCAAGTGGAGGAGTGGGGAATCAAACCCGGTTCTCCCAGATTACTGAGAGAGAGTGAAAAGCCTACACCAAACTGTGGGATAGCAAACAGTCCCTGTACATGATCTCTATGAAGTAAAACAGAACCCCCTGAATGTATGGGTCTCTCTATATGATCAAGCGCTCTGAGCACGTGCCGTTTCTGATCATGTAAAAACAGG